TATGGAGTTTTTTTTACTATCTGGCAAGCTGACTGAGCAAATACTCACAAAATTTAAATTAAAACGATAGAAAGAACAAGTAAATAAATTGAAATACGCCCCAAAAATATTTAATAAATCAGTGCAAAAACCGAGTATTATTAAATAAATTGAAATAATTGAGTAAATAAACTGAAATACATCCCAAACAACAGTACTAAGAACGAATAAGTTAATTGAAATACGCCGCAATTAACGCACTACATTCACTGAGAGACGCGCTTGACGTTCCATAGAAATGACCGGCGGCTCAACTTGTCGGCGGCTCAACCGGTCATAATCCCTACTACTAACTAGCCTTTTTATTAGCCACATAAATAGGCCTCTACCCTACTACTAGCTAGGCTAGTAGTATGTTTTATTATCTGTATTTATAATTAAAAATGATTTTCCCATTCCTCCATTAATTAAGTGGCTCATTTTATAGCTGGCAAGGCTTAGGCCTATACCAAAATGAGAGCTGGCATATAGGCCTAGGACCTAGGCTATATGCTTAATTAATGGAGGGGTGGAGAAATGATAAAATACAGAGATAATAAAACCTAGGGTGTAGGCCTGTATGTGGCTAAAAAGGCTAGTTGTTATTATTAGTAGTAAGGGCCTATGCGTGCCCATATTTATCGACTGGCGGCCGTTTCGACTCGGGCCATATCCGCCTAGGCCTATATATACGGCCTACCCTTTGCCAAGCCTAGCTCGGTAGGAAGGCATAGCAGGCCCGCCCCGGGCCTGCTGGATTTGGTCAGGGATGCCTACTTTCTTCTAGGGCTAGGCCTAACTAATAATAAAGGGCCTAGCATTAGCGAAGATAGCAAGGCTTAGAATTAGACTACTTAAGTTCTACGCCAACAGGTTTTAACTAAATAAACAAATGGAAGTTTGACTTACAGGAAGGCGATTTTCTTCAAGCCAATAAGGATCATATTTAACTTTCCCTAAACTTGTACTCTTCAGCCCTTCTAAAACGCCAGCTACCGCCATGTTGTTTTGAAGCGTCAATGGTTGTCAGTTAATCAACTAATAATTTTTGCCCATTTTTTTATTGTGAAGATAAATCGAGTACTGTACATCATACGATGGCCCACAACTGCCACGCACAATTTAAATACAATCACAAGAAATTCAAAGGTATCTCGCACAATTAAAGAAGTCCGCAACAAATTTAAACGTAGGCTCGCACAATAAAGAATCCGCAACAAAGTTCTTACCTTTGGATTTGTTGCGATTCTATTTAAATTGTGCGTGACAGTTTTGGGCCACGGTACCGAACTACTACTGTACTTTTGTGTGAATTTTAGATCGTTAAAATGGTACATAGGCCTGTATTTGATATAGATAACAATTAAATAACTTCAAAATCATCAGAAAATGTTCAGAGCACGTGACGTTGACATCGTATCGACTCACACGTCGGATGGCATGGTATTTTAAACATTTTCGCCGCCACGTGGACCTTACGTAGTAGCCATCCGCTGAGCTCAGAGGGGAAAGAAATTGATAGGCCTATGTTGTACAATTGATTTTTCTAAGACACAAAAGTATACACAATTCTATAATGAGAAGCATGTTGAAATAAAACAATAAATAAACAGTCTAGAGTAAAATAACACACGAAAAACAAAAAATATATATATCATAGGCCTATAGGAAACTCGAACATGACTGCTAATAATTAATATTCAAAATATGCAAAATGATGTCATAATATGATATGCACATCGTTGATATGGTATTTGCCTGGATAATGTTTGAGATTCACGGGTAAAGTGACCAAATTGCCGGCGGTCAGAAACTCTGTTCAAAGAAATAACAAAACAGTTATATAATTTAGGCAACTGCCCAAAAAAATCTTTATTGTCCTCATATCCACACCCTATTCCGGATCAACATTTGATAATTCCCAGCTAACATAGGCCTATTACGTTCTAAGAACGTTATAATAATGTTTGAGTACGGTGATAAAAGCGTTATTTTGTAGAACCATCCCGTAGGCCTACTTAAAACCTAATAATTTCACAACCTCACAACGTTTTAACGTTCTTACAACGTTGTGTGAACATTATTTTGTGACATACCTAAACACAGCGTTCGCGAACGTTATAAGAACGTTTTGTGTTCGCTGGGTTCTTCATTGGACCACGAAAAACTTTTTTTGAAAGCTTCATTTTTATCCATTTATAACTAGGACGTTAGCAATTTAAATGACCCTAAAATTTACACCCGAATCCGGATCGTCACCACAACCGTCTACCTTTTGTAACTTGGAAACTTTCCCGAAGTTCAGTTCAGTTGATCCGTTTTTTGATTTTGGTCTGCTGAGATGTTTTCCTTTACATGGAAAACTTTGTGTGTTTTTTCGCATTTTCCTTCGCTGCTAAGAGATTAACTTAGGCGATGCGTGCTGTAATGTTCCATTATTGAATGGATGTAGATTATTAGATTATTCTTTTATTTTTAGATTGTTGGATAGATTTGGGCACTATACAAATACTGGATTTGATCATGGAGGTATACCTCCATGATTAGATCATAAACCTATATAGTGAACTGTTACTAGACGATCAGCAAATATATAAAGTAAATGTAAAATACTTTTTAATGCGATAAAATTCCCGTGGGGTTTTTTATTCTAAAAAATATCAGGAATCTTAAACATTCTCCCCTCTTATCGAATGGACTTGTCCTGGTTTGTTTGGCCAATATTCTTAGGAAAAACCGTTTGTGAAAAATACGCTTATTTTTAGAAGTAAGTAAAAGTACGTAATTAGGATCTACACCAATCACCCCGAGTTTCATATTACAAGAAAGGGTATTTAATATACTATATTTTTCCGGCGACCTCTTCTACACCAACACAAATCATGCTATTCTACAAGGAACAGAATGCATTAGCTTTCTATTCCAAATATTTAAGGTGACTGAATTTAGTATCACTCGAAAGTACATAATATTTACTTTCAAATTTCGTGAGAACCCATAGGAAAAGTTACTGTATTGGACAACAGTGCCAGAATTTAGCCCTCTGTGTACAATATTATAGACTACGTTCGCGTGCTTAATTTTGTATTTTTCTTGAAACCATACGGACTCCGAGTCGGCCCATGAACCAACTCGGCCCTAACCGACTCGGCCCATAACCAACTCGGCCAATACACCAACTCGGCCCTTGTCAATAAAAGAAAATTCATCGCAGCCATTATTTATTATCAATACGGTCCCGGCGTCACTCCTTGAATCGCAACTGAATTTTGTGTGCTTTTGCATCAGCAAATAAGTTAATAACATGATCAAAGTTAGAAATGTTGTCTGCTTCATCACGCTCAATACTAAGTAGTGCCAAAGCAAAAAGTCTCGCTTTTCCTATCGTGGCTCTGAGATATGGCAGGATGAGCTTTAGTCATTACAGAATAGGATTAAAAAAAAGAGAGAAAATGGTCGAAATGGACTGAAAAGAAATCACAATCTATAAATTTGCCTTAAAAACAACATTCAGATTCTTATTAACTGGAAAATATTCATGCCTGGCGACATACATCAATTTTGTCGTGTTTTTCTAAAAAGTGCTTATTTTTTGTACTCTCATTCTCCCATTTCAGCGCCCCCACAAACTTGGTGCTCGGGGCACGTGCCCTCCCTTGCCACCCCTAGCTACGCCACTGTCAACTATTTTTTACTTAGGGGTTAATTGGTAAAAATCGCAGACAAACCATACGACGTCACGGGCAACGCCGGGGACGGCAACTCGATTTTGAGATTAATTTTCCGAATAAAGGTATACTAAATAACTTCTAATGACGAACTATTGTCTTCAGCTGACTTTGTTGGTCATTCAACTGTCATTTATCTATTCTTTCAGAGTTATTACCATTCTCAATAATCTATAAAACACCCACATAACAGCGTCACGTTAGATCGACTTGTGGGGACGCCGTGGTGACGCCGGTAGGGTCAATTTTCGTCGGAAGGTATCAAGATGATAAACAGTTTAATTGGACTAAATTCTTGCTTATGTTAACCACATGCTTATATCGAAGATTATACTGACACTGGTTTCAAATGAAATAACTGACAACTTTGGTTTGTATCAACGTTCTAATAAGTACACAAAACTGTCTCAAATACGTATGCTAAAATGCACAGGAACACCACGCTGTGTTTGTATTTTTCTTGAAATCTGTATGGCTGATCACCATCATCATACACAGTATAATGGATTCAAGTAAGATGTTTCAAATGATATAAAAATGTATGCCAACATGCCTTTGGAACAGCTTTTTTCGAGCTTTATTTACCTTAACGTCGACTCCGTCCGTCTAGAAAGCACCGGATTAATCACACCAGGATTAATGGCTTCAAGTCAACTCGGCCCTTAACCGACTCGGACCATACCGACTCGGCCCTTCACAAACTCGGCCCTTAACCGATTTGGCCCATAACCAACTCGGCCCTTGTCAATTTAGAGAAAACTCATCGCAGCCATTATTTATTATCAATACAGTCCCGGCGTCACTTCTTGAATCGGGACGGTACGTACTACTTTACCGCTTGAGTTCACGATGTACACATGACATGGGTCATATCATGTAAAGATAATTATTTGTCCCGAATTACAATTTGTATTTTTAATGTATTATTAGAAATAGGTCCCTGCATTCAACAATTATGTGGATATTCATTGTACAGTTATTTACTATCAACTGTTGCCCCGGCGTCACTAATTTGGATCAAGACGGCACGTACGAAATTATCTTCAATCACTTCAATCGATCAATCAATCGTTCCATTTTTTTATGGCACCATTCCAGCAGTTGTTGCTCATAGTGCCGTTCCAAAAAAAAAGTTTTTAAAAAGGTGCATCTTGAGTTGTGACTTAAAATTGTCAAGAGAAGGTGATTGTCTGATTTTTAGAGGAAGTTTATTTCAAGGCACTTGACAACGTGCACATGACAATCGGGACGCTACGTACCTCTCTCATTGTGTTGACGTTGGGAACGTTTTACCTTCCTGTCATGCACGATAATACTTTCTTCCTCTTTACTATTTGTATATGAATGAAATAGGCCTACTATAGTTTCGTGCATTTTAGGAATTGTTATTTTTTCAAAGAAACATCGTTCCGACGTCATTATTTTGGATCAACTCGGCCCCAATTTACTGTGTATTTACTAAATGCAAAGTCAAAACTAAGTGTTTTATGTCGTTGCTTTGTTTTTCTTTTCATTTACAACCACTTAACAATAATTAAAAATGCATTTATAAAAATAATAGGCTTATTAATAATAACAATATAAAAAGGTATAATAGAACTAATAATCATGACAAAACTTAATGAGTTATAGACATATTAAATATAATTATACAGTATATATATATTTACATATATAAAATATATTTAATATGTATATATATATATATTTAAATATATATAGCCTATATATAGGACTATATATAAAACGATATACGGTAATCATGACAATGCTTAATGAGTTATAGAATACTTTATATATATATATATATATTATATATATATATAAATATATATAGACATATTAAATATACTTTATATATATATAATATGATATAAATCAGTACTATTGTTCATATCGTTATTATCATTAGTTTTTATGTTATGCATTTTTATTAATATTATTTTAATATTATTTTTATTAATGCTGGTTTTATTATTGTAAATGAACAAAGAGTAACAACGGCACCAATTTAAAACACTTTAATTTTGACATAGTTTGGCTATGCATTCAAATTTCTTTTGGTAATTATTTCGTAAATATACAGAAATTTTTTTTTTTTTTTCGAGTTTTATTTACCTTAACGTCGACTCCATCTAGAAAGCACCAGGATTACTCACACCAGGATTAATGGCTTCAAGTCAACTCAGCCCTTAACTGATTTGGCCCATAACCAACTAGGCCCTTGTCAATTTAGAGAAAATTCATCATAGCCATTATTTATTATCAATACGGTTCAGGCGTCATTCCTTGATTGGGGACGGTACATACTACTTTATCGCTTGAGTTCACGACACGATGTACACATGAAATGGGTCATATCATGTAAAGATAATTATTTGTCCGGAATTATAATTTGTATTTTGAATGTGTTACTAGAGATAGGTCCCTGCATTCAGCAATTACGTGGATATGTATTGTACTGTTATTTACTATCAACTATTGCCCCAGCGTTACTAATTTGGATCAAGTTCAATGCTTTTTCCTTCTATTTTTCTTATTTATCCACTGTTAATGTGGTATTTATCATAACCATGTTCTTCACAGTTCTCTGCATCTACGATCTTCTGTAATAGTGTCATCTGTATATCTGATTTTCACATTTTCTCCTGTAACTTTTACTCCTTCTATTCAAATGTTTTGGGTTTTATAATCGATTGCAAATAGTTCAGGTGACACAATGTATCTTTTTGAAATTAAACTCTTTAGAAAGTCTATCATCAAGTTTAAAACAAATGTCTGTATACTATCCAATGCAGACTTTCTATAATGAAAAGATATTTTCTATTAATATCTGTCAGTGCTTCCAACATCTTGGCGTATCTCACTCTGTGGAATGCGTTTTGGTAGGCCTAGTCACACACTAAACACTCTCGAGTATGTGAATCCACAGCATTCACCCATATTTTCTTACCAGGGGTATCCACTTCCGTTGGAGAGAAAAAAAATTAAGATGAAGTCCATTTCTTCCTAATTATATAAATTTAAAGCATTTAACCATCGTATTACTACAATGTTTAAATTCACCAATAACATTTTATTTTTATTTTCTCTAACATCTGGATGTTTTTGGCAAAACAATTTGCTAAACAAGAAAACAAAATTTTATTTATTTTTTTGTCCTCCTATGACGATATTATAAATAAGTATGCTCGACTTAATTGTAGGAAGCACTATTTTTCCCAAAGGTGGTAAACGAATAGAATGCTCTTCCTGCCCACGTCGTGGAAGCTGAAAGTACCACACAGTTTAAGAGAAGATATCAGAAGACAAAGGGGGCTACTAAAGGGTCGGAAACGGCCAGCCAGCCCTCAGCGCCACTTGAATAATTTAGTGGCGTTACGGTGAATTACGGTGAAAAAAGGTATAAAAACGTCTCATCTTAGGAAAAACTTGTGTTTAAAAATGAAATAACACTTTATAAGAAACAGTGAAGTCACATCAAATGATTTCAGCACAGTTCATTAATGTGAATCATATCAACTTTAATATACAAAATTAAATTTTCTTATTAAGCAAAAATATTTAACACATGACATTATTTAACACTTGAATTTCTCAAGCAGGCTGCAATATCATTATAATGGTGGAAATACATTTTACACGACAAAATCAAAATGTTAGAGCTTTTGTAATTTTTTCTTGTTTTTTAACATGATATAGATACTGAAGTTTGCACCAGACTCCTTTGCACATTGCTACTAGTTTAAAATCAGCAATTTCATCTCGTTGTGTTGCAAAAGCATACTGCTTCCTGGGGGGAAAAAACATGAGAGAAAGGGTAACTTATGGTGTATTGTAATATGATTTTGTCTTATCTTTATAGAGTACCTATTGTAAGTGTTATTTTAGTGTTTTTCCTAAAGCTTGGTTTCCATAGAATCGCTCACCTATAGGCGAATATCGCTGACAGTTGTCGGGAAGATTGAACCTGTTTCAACCTTGCCAAATGAGTTGCGGACGAATCGGGGTGCCTTCCCGATTACGTTCGGGCAGCTAGCAATGCTCCCTGATTCGCCTGCAACGCAATAGCAAGGTTGAACCAGGTTCAACCTCCAATAACTGTCGGTGATAGGGTAAGCGATTCCATGGAAACCGAGCTTGAGTTTGATGCAGTACTAGCATCAATAAAAGGGGAGAAGAATCCATGCCAAGTGCTTCCAGACCCTTTGATAGGATAAAATCAATTGATAAAAACAGAGTCAAGAACATTTCATCCATTTTAAACTACTGTTCTCAATACTTATTTCTGAATTTTTTCTTTTGGTTAATCCAGTTGTTAATTTGTGTAAGTAAATGTTTATTTTTACTTACGGACTTGATTTTGGTTTGTTTTGCAGTATATATGTAAATGTCTGAGGCAGCTTAATTGTAAAGACTTGATTAAAGTTGATTAAATAAGTCAAATTTTATGCATCTCTAAACCAATAAAATGGTTAAGTTGAAAAAAAAAATTTAACTTCTCACACAACAATTTACAATACCTCAAACACCACACCATAAATCATTAAAATGTAAATTTTGGAAACTAATCAAAAAGACTCAGGGGCAGATCCAGGGATGTCCACAAAGTAGAGGCTGACCGAGAGCCAACACTACCCTAGGGAGAAATTGTTGTTTTCTAGATGCCCGGAAATAACGTCTGAGGCAATTAATAATTTCTTTTTCTTTCTTTCTTTTTTTCCCTTCCAAAAGGAGGAGACGGGGCCAGCCCACCCGCCAACTCCAAAATCTGCCCCCGGGACTCTGAGATTAACTCAAGATTTGTTTTTTTGAGGTCAACAGAATAAATTTCACTGATTACATTATTACATTGCACCAAAAGTCCAACGGATATATTTTAGTAGGTACAGATTCTATTAAAACATTTTATGAGAGAAAAAAATATTGGGTTAATTGCCTATTATAGTAATTACTTGGTAAAATTATTTTCAATATCATCTCACAATTGTGTGTACAGTAGCAGGATGAAAATCCTAATTTAATTTTTTTAGGAAGCCTTACCTGAGTATATATTTGGCATGTCTAAGGAAACCTCTTTGCATCAAGCTCAATGATAAGTACACAAAACAACGTGACATCAGATAAGGATCCCCTAGTTTCTTGGCGAGAGAAAATTGCTGCTCTGATATCCTGCCAGCTGTGGACGCCTGCAAAAATAAAGAATAGTAATTGTTGTAACACTCATTGCATAGTAATACCAGTACTGTTTATACAGTTAATATAAGAATGATTAAACCTCAAATTTCATCCAAAAATTTACATACTTGAATGTACTGTATGATTAGATGATTAATCTCATTTGTATATTAGTCAGATATATTAGTCAGATGAGGTGGATCACTTTTATTTTCCAATTGGTTAATTCTCAATCCTTTCTACATTATTTTACTTAAATGTTCATTCACTTATAAACAGCTACAATCTCATTACCCTCCACTAAAGTGAAATTTGTGATAATATATATTATAAAATGTATGTGTATTATTATATTAGGCCCCAAAAAGTGCTGTTCAAGACCGACATGGTCTGACCAATCAAAAATCTTGAAAATATAGGGTCATTACAAAGATGAGCTCAAAATACAAGCATGATGTTTCTAAAGTTTAAATAAAAATTTAGAAAAAATAGATTATTATCTCAAAATCTACATTGTATTTTCCAACATCAATCCTAATCTATTGATGTACTCCAGTACTTACTGTACACCACAAGTGGGCAAATTGCAGCCTGACAGCCCTTTTTTTTTTTGCGGCAGCCCGGGAAAATGATTTAAAAACCCTATGTGCACGGCTCACTAAGCAACACTGGCTTAGAAAACACAATGTTTTTTTACGGCCTGATACCAATCATATGTAAAAAGTAACATTAAAATTGAGAATAAGTGGTGTAAAAACAGTGCTTGGAGGTTTTTAGAAGCTCACTGGAAACATCAAAGTTTGGTTGTGGTACTCGGTGTTAAATTAAAAATTCACTTTGACCCTCTGACTGATTTTTATGCCCACCTCTGACTTACACAATGGTGGAATTGATCACCTAAAGATGAATAGGCACCACCCAACGTTGACAGCCATGAGAAGGCATCTTCAAAAACAAGTCTCATTTTTAGGTATGGTAACATATGACAACACCTTAAAGAATAATACAAATTTGAAACGTTAGTTTGAAGTATAAATGCAGTATGAGTTTCAGGGTTGGATTTGGGTCCCGGAAAAATTTTGATTTCTAGATGGTGAGAAATGAGCTTTTTTGACTTCTGAGATGTCTTTTAATGACTTTTAAGTTCTTCAAAAATTCAAGGTTTCCCCTCGTAAAAATGGTCAGGTAAACTTTCTCATTCCTATTACAGTAAATAAGCCTATTATGTGAGTATATACATTTAAAAAAATTGAGTACTTTCACACTTATTCTTTTTTTAATGAATCGATGAACCCCAAACGGTAGGGGAGGGGGGTCCGCCCCGGGAAAATTTCGATTCCTAGATTGCGGGAAATGAGCTTTTCAGACTTCTAATTTTCCCATTGTAAAAAAAAAACAATTTCAGCTCATGGGTCCTGAAAAGGTACATGTAGGTCTAGAATTTTTTTAAATTTTTTTTTATTTTTTTGTTTGCCCAAAAGGTGGGGGGGTCAGGACCCCCTGACCTCCCTCAGATCGCCAATGAGTTTGCAGCAGTGAGTAGTGGAATTTGGTTGTTAGAGATAGCTTCCAACTTCTAGGCACAAGCTTCAAATATATTTAAATCACCGGTATATCTATACGAAAGTTTATCTGTGTTGGTGATTGATACGACAGAATCAATGATGCAGTAGCCCACTCTGCTGAAGGTTTTCTTTTTTTGACAGATGTGATGCACCGAAAATCGAATATCTATGCTTTTTTTTGTCTTTGAGAAATGGTTCAGATGTTGTTTTTTATCATTACAGCAGGCCATAAGAAATGCTAAACTCATAAGATAGTTTCACTAAAATGTTTACTCATGATATTTATTTAATCGTAATCTTTAAACTTCATAAAAAATGTGTTGTAGCAGAAGGTTGAACGATCTAAGTAGGAATCTACATCGTATGTGATAGTCATACTTGCTCGCAGATATGTACTGTATAGCCTATTGTCTATCAATTTTTTTTTATTAAAGCTTCAACCTTCATCAGTATGGCCCAACAATGTTGACTGTATGAAGTCACTTTTGGGACATGTGATATAGGTTGTAGTCAGGTGGTCTAACATTTATGGTGGCGTTTTTTCACAGGTCATTTTTTAAGGCAATATCTGATTACCCTATTAGCAAGAAGGGCTACAATGTATAATTATGCATGTTTTTCTCACCAATTCAAGACTTACCATTTCAAATCTGCTTCTATATTTGATATATCTGATTTTCTTTTACACTTAACATTTAATTTGATCCAAGATGAAGTACCTAATTCTTTCAACACATTGCTGTAAAAACTGTTTCTAAAATGTCTTGAGTTGTAAATTTCATTTACCAGGCAAGACACCAACAGAGGATCAAAGGTCAAATGGAATATAACAGTATTCTCATCAAGATGGTTTGAGATGCAACTGCCATCATTCTTTTCATGTTTTAAATCATCATCAGATATCAAAATCCTCTTGCAAATTATTTGGTCTAAATATGTACTATCACTGTATGATATAGCCCCATCAACATTTGTAGGTACAACAGAAACATCTTCATGTTTACATTTATAAAGGAAAATCCTGTTTATATTTAGATGTCTGTTGTAAACATTGAGGACAATTACTTGTCCATTAATGTCCTCCATGAGTGTTTGGAATCAAGCCAGCTGTATCATTTCCAGAGTCATGTCTCACCTGTAAAAAAATAAGAGTTGTTTTAATATTATCTTAAATTAGAGCAAGTGAAACAATTATTATTATTAAAAATACAGGTCTATCAATTAGTAATTAGGTCTATCTAACTTCTTTTATTGTTATACTTCCTATGCTGTACATTCAACAATAAAATTCAGTTTGAAGTCAGATTTAAATTGAATTCAATTTATTCACATACTGATTCGTGTAATGCATCATATAGTAATGATAGAAAAAAAGCGTAGGCCTACAGGCAGTGCATTTATGACTGGTGATGCCAGTAATTTGGTAGAAAAAATTAACATTTTTTAAATGTCTAGGGCTAGGTTTATTAAATTACACTTTAAACTTTCTGTAACTCGTTGAACAAACTTTTCCTACTTTTGTATCAACAGTAAACAATTGAAAATTAAACAAATCATTCAGAAGTGTTTTTCTTTTTTAACAACTGAAAAAAACAGATGTTGAATCCAAAATACTATTGAGGAACTAAAAAGCTTAGCAGAAAATACAATCTTATTGACTAAGTGATTTTAAGTTTACTGTTTTACTTTTGTTTTGTTAATGAGGAAGTATTTTTGTGTGTTTGTAAGTTAGCCGTTACAGAAAGTATACAGTATTTATTTTCTGTAATTCACATAATAATCAATAATAATATAGTAATCGCATGAAGTTATTCTCATCATAATAATTTTAAAAAAAAGGAGTAAAGGTAACTTACACACATTTTACACATTTCAGGTATTATTTTACAGTTGTTCAACTTGTATTGTTTGTAAAGTAGGGCATTAAATAGATAGCCTAAGCCTAGTAAAATATATATTATTAATCTAAATCTGTGCTGTGCTTCTTTTGTCCTGGTTTGCTCTAGTCTGCTAAACAGTATCTGTTCCATGGTTTCTATTCTAGCCTAGGCTAGACTAAACTAGCCTTTTAGCCTAGGCTAGACTCTAGCCTACTACTACTAACTAAAAAGCATGAACTACCTATAGCCTGGGTCTAACTAGTATTTTTAAATTTAGGTATTGATATAGTAGTAGTGCATGTTTTTACTTGACACAGCAGATCAAGTCATCTTATCAGCCAAAAAATGGGAAATTTTATGACAACTGAGTCACTAGTCTGCTGCAAACAAAATACATACGCTAATACGCTGCAAGTTTACGTTGTTCGAAACGCGTTTGCTTTTGCTTTCAATTTTTCGATAACGACCAACGACAGCGTGGACCATGGATTTGAGCCTCCGGAAAAAGTTTGAAAGAATCACAATAAGTAATGAAAATATATTTCAAACCTATTGATTATAAAGCCAAAGAAAGATAGTTAAAAACAACAAAAATACTTATATATATTTTTGAAATTTAAATTTATAACTTTTACAATAGCTTGCAACTTTGTAATCCAAATGTACATATTTTCAGTGTGGAATTTTGCTGCCCATTTGCCCAGCTGCTTGATGGATTTTGATGGCGCGGGGCTTTGAAATGGAAATTCCCTTTCCACAACAAAATGGCATGCTACGATGAAAATGGGAGTTTGGAAGTCTTGAATTCACATCCACTTTTCGGTATTTTAAGAGAAAATGTTAAGAATTCTACAAATCCGGATGATTCTGAAGAACTCATGGCCGTTAAAGATGGGGATTTGTACGTGTGGGATAAAGAACATCTGCATCTGCTTACAGCAAATCTGAAAGTATTCGTAGGCCCAACTGATGACGATATTGCAACGTTCAGGTACCAGGTATGTAAGAATGGAGATGTGTTGTAGTAGGTCACCTACCTACCAGATCGAAGTTTTGGGCCTAGAAATTCATACTTATAATTATATCACTGAACTGATAGGCGCTAATGAACTTCCGCACCTAACTTTTAATTCTTAATTTTTTAACCTGAATTTTCTTCTCACAGAACAGTCACAACACATAATTATAAAACATTTTTACATGATTCAACCACTCATAAAGTACATTTTTTCAACAAAAAAATACCTTTATAAATGTAGGTTGATAAAGGGTTTCCGCGCTTGCTAGCACGACGAGATGTACTTTTTTGCAATCAAGTAAGAAATTACCAGAATGTCCGAGTCAATTCTTAAGTTTTGAAACCATTAAACAATAAAGGCCAGTCTTATAATTTTAATTGGAATTTTCCCATGAAACATCCGAAAACAAAATGTGCCATCATGCAGTACCATCTTTTTGAACTTTCTTGTCGTAATTGAGGTTAATCGAACCGATGTTTATCATTGGCTTTAATAGTTGTTTTTCTGGATTTAGGCCTAGGCCCCTAGGGCCTATTTTTCGATCTGTGTACGCATTTGGATCATTACTAATTTTTGAAGTAATTATTGTACGTGTGAAATTCATGTGAACACACATAGTCAAACAACAGCACCATACAATATAAAGAATGACATACAATACGCCAAATACTGTAAAGTTTTCATTCATAAACGTTTAATCAAAAAACTTCACGCTGCAAACTCAGACATTCTGGCAATTTCTTACTGATTGCAAAATGGCAGCCGCCCGTCGTGCTAGCGAACACAGATTAGCTGTACTAATTTGTGGGCTTATGTGTTGAAAAAGGTACTTTGTGAGTGTTTAAATCATGTGAACATGTTTGTTAATTATATGCTGTGACTGTGAGAAGAAAATTGAGGTAAAAAAATTAAGAATTAAAAGTTTAAGGTGCGAAAGTGCATTAGCGCCCTGATATACAATCAAATAATTAATACTTGTGCAGGTCTATGTTTATACAAATTGGCTTTGACGTAAGCCTAATCTTAATAATAATTTAATATAGCCTAGTAGGTACTAGTAGGCCATTAATAATATTAATTATACCTGTGTTATGCAGTGCCATTAGTTATGATTCTGCACCTATTTGCCTAGAGATTTTCTATGCAAAATTTGAACTAGGCTAGTTTTTGATATATCATCTGCGCAATTGAAATATTTCACAGTATGGGTCAAGTCAATTAGCATTTAGGTGCTTAAAAAGTGTTTTAAAAGTATATCTAAATATGTCTATAATTTGCAGATTCTTCTTTGCACAAATGCACCAATCTTCGAAATAGAAAGTGTTACACTCAATGAGACTAGTGATTATGTTATGCTGCACGGACAGAAGGGTCTAGCAGTGTTAGCTCTTCCCAGACGTTATGGAAAAAACAGTGAATTTGAAGGTGGAAAAAGAAAGATTAATTGCAGGTATTGCACTTTAAATTTTGTAATTACAAATAACAAGATAATGTATTCTATGTACAGTAGTGCATTGTGCTTCTTTACTCATAAGCTAAAATCAAATTTGTGCACTATATTAATAATATTTTACCTTTTGAACCAATACAGTATATTTTTGCATTTTTGTGCATTGAACATTATTATATTAATTAGTGTATCTGTTATCAAATATCTTTACGAATGAAATGATGCATACATACTAATCTAACATAAGAATGATTCTATCCTTTAGGACAATGATAATTGCTGAACGATTGTTTATTAGTAACCCATCACTGAAGCTCCTAGAAGCTAAATGGCACCCAGGCAGTGAAACTGGCATGCACATTTCAATTCTGACATCTGATAATATTCTAAGGTAAATTGTAAAATCATGTTTACTTTCCATTTCTGTTCCTCCTGCATCTAGAGTATAGAGTGGCAGGCCTGCAATTCTTGAACTTGGGGTTAACTTGTCTGCAAAACATTTCTCAATAGAAGAAACTTAATTGAGTTAATTAAATAGTTCATTGCAAGTGTGTTAAGTACCAGTAGAATGGAAACATGCAGTAGTTGTACTCGTTCCTAAGATGTATGCCCCTAGAATCAACAAAATGAGCCCAATTTCCCTCACTTCCGGCAAAGTCGCTGAAGACTCTGAAAGTTCATGAGTTACATCTGACATTCCACCATCCTTAGATACCTGACAGTATGGTATTGTTAAAGTTGATTCCACCCCACATTAGCTTGTCTGCCTAGTCCATGATTTTTGCTCTGTCGCTGAGCGGAGTCGCAATGTGGAAACGATCATACTCATGGACTTTACATCATTTGATAATGAATTTTAGTATAGCAGATCTCTTTCAGGTGTACCATATCTTGATTTCAACCTACCGAATTGTTAAACCAATCAGGAAAAAAAACAAAATATAAATAGAAAAAAAATTATCCAGTTTAAATTGAATTTAAAGCTTTTAATAGCCTTCTATTAATTTCTGTTTATCTTGATACTGAAGTTAACATCAGTCACTATGTAAATATATAGATTTATTAATTCTTATACTAGAAATTGCAAGTGAAGTGCTGCGAAGTACAACTGCATATAAATGTTCTTCGAACAAAATTATTTATGCGAGTCAAGTGAAAATAATGAATAATAAAAATATAACAAATACTACGAGACACGACCCATTGTCTATATTAGAACACTTCTCACTGGGTAACAAAGTCGTAATTTTTCATTTTTGTCAAAAAGTGTCTATAGATAGTGGTGAATTATGGTTTAGGTTTTTTTTAATGAAGTTTCAAAAATGTTTACGTATGTGGAAAATGTAGTTGATTACCAAAGGTTACAATTTTTATTTTGAAGACTGCATGGTCTAGGAAGTGTACATTTTTTTATGGGGCAATTTTCCAAGGGCGGGTTTTCTAGGGGTGAGTTGACTGCCAAAGAGTGTTGCCAAAGTCCGAGCCAGCGTGTTATTTGATCACAAGTGCGAGACATCACAAGTGTGAGCCAGCGAGCCATGACGTCACAACAATAGATACGAGACGTTGACGAGTTGTGCGAGGTATCGGCTGAGATTTGTGGAGTACAATTCAAAAAACAACTATATAGGTCTAATAATGAATTATTGTGATGTTAAATAGACAATGTTAGCTATCAAGGAGCGACGTTGTTTTTCATTGGGACCTTCGTCCCTTCAAGGCTAGGCCTATACCATCCTAGCTAGTCTAGGCCTAGAGTAGGATAAGGCTATTGCGACATGCGGACGTTGGTACAAACGTCAAGAATATAAATTGGCTGCTTTGCAGCAATTATTATTAATCTCTATTTACATTGCTAATTCTGTATCATTGACCTTATTTTCCTCACACTTCTTTCTAGAATATATGACATCCAGGCCCCTCAGCGACCTGTCCAGACCCACTACTTGAGTGAGGAACCAAGTCCTTGCTTGTCTTCAGGTTCTGCATCTTTCCAAGCTGCATTAGGAGAGGTGGCAATTTCATTTGATATTGGTCCACCACAGAAAGTGATCACTCGACGGTTTGGTCTGCGAGGCCACCAAAAAACTCTAATATATCCTATCTATATCTTAAAGGGGAATGGAGATGTATACCTACTACCAAACAGTTTAAAAGACAAAAGGTAATATATTAAAATTTAAAAAATTATATTTATTTTTCTAAACTGTTTAAAATTGTTTTTATAATGCTAAAATACAGTGGTAATAATAATGATGTACATTCTGAAATTGTTAATGGTGAAACCAACAAAATTGTTTTGCTGATATATTTTGTTTGATTCTACAGGTATTCTGGGTTGTTTATGTTATAAATTCAAAAATCTACATTACCATAGAAATGCAATGAAGTTCTCCTAATAATAATGATAGTATTTTTTTGAAGGTTTGATTGATGAAATGTGTTAAAATGTGGTTTAGTGAAATACTGTTGATTTATGACTGTCATCAGAAAGAGGACTAACAATGTTAGATCATAATGAACATCTTCAAAAATGTCAATCAAACATAACAAACGACCAATCAGATCTGATTTGTGGGATTTTGGCAACAATATCCAAGGGGAGGGGCTTAGCTATATGCTGCTGCCTGTAATTTTGTTTCCTTTAACTTGAATTCGTAAATGAAAAGAAATATCTCTCTTTTAACCTATTTTAAAGGTATGTAGACACAAGATTGCAGGGTCCGTTAGCAATGTACCCACCTGCTGAGGACAACTATGGACTAGATGCCTGCGCATTGCTGTGTTTACCTTGTAAACCACATGTCCTAGTGGTTGGCACTTCCTCAGGCCACCTGCATCACTGCTTAGTATTGACTACAGAAGAAGATGATGATGAGAATGTGGTATGGTCTGAGTGATTATATATAGTACATCATTAAATATAATTTTATAAATTATTGTCACATTTTTGCATATTGTAAATGCTAAAATCATAAATTTTATGTTAAATGCTTTAAAATCACTCTTGCAGGATTTTACTTCCTCTAATTCATAAATGTTGTTTTGTTATTGATCTATAAAAGAATGGCTGTAAATAATTAATTAATTCATAGTATTAAAGTCATTGATGTTCTATCGCAATCTGAATAAAAATTGTACCATAATTAAATTTGTGTTTGGACCTCATTAGCATCAAGCATATGCCATGAGGTCTCGCCACTCTCTATGTAACATCAGTGTAAGAGTAAAATAAGGGCACATAGAAAATATTGTTAGATTTTCACTCCTGCCTGCATAAAAAATATGGGAAATATTAATGCAGGAATATATTTTTTCTGTCGCATCATTTATTTCAACAGCATAAAAAATACAATGAAATTTTGTGACTGGAAATACATTTTCTTTAAAAAACAATAAAATTAAACCAGTTTTTATAAAATCTTAACAATATTCTTGCCAAATATAAACAGTCCCTCCCTCATCGATATAAAAAGAAAGCAATATTCTATTTTTCTGAGTAGAAAAAAAAAAACCGCCCGCCCTCATCACTTATTTTTTGGGATAATCTACTAATTTTTTCTATGTGCCCTAGAGACTGAGAGTGATTGATTGGGAATTTCACAGCATTTTTCTTCCTTTTTTTTTTTTTAGTCTGTATCATCTGTTGATTCTGGTCATTTATCAACACACGTAACTGAATGTGATTCTTCTCTCTACGTCTATGAGACAATTGAACTTCCAATGAGTCCAATCCTATCAGATGATTATGACGAAGAGAGCCCTCATCCTGTTAGACTCCATCAAGGTCTGTTAGAGTTTTTTCTCAAATTTAGCTTTGTGTTTAAAAGTACAAATTTAATTAAAAATTATCAGCCATTTTATTAACATTTTCTGACTTTATTCATTTGTATTGCAGATATTTTTATTGTTTTCTTCTTTTGCCTTATTGCCCATTTCTTATCTGCGCTTACAAAACTGCTTAAATACTTTTTTTTCATTTTATTATTTATTCTTAATTAAATTTTTATAATTTTTTTTACTTATTAAATAAAAATTGTTATTAATATTATTAATTATCTGTATTATTAATAATTATGTATTAGTTGTTAGTGTTTTGTTAGTGTTATTATTAACCATTGTCTTATTTCTATATTATTTATGTAGTATCATCATTCTTATTTATGCTGTTAACATTCAGATAATGGAAATGCATCACGGTACTACTGTACCCATAATGCTGGTGTGCATTCTGTGTCTCTTCCCTGGGCCAAGAAGCTACAGCAGTTTTGTACTGAAGGTAATTAACTCAGATAAGATAGTATAATACATACAAGTATCATATCAATGTGCATGCCATCGTGTTGGGATTATTCAATATTTCAAAATTGATTTTGTCATCAGGGAGAATAACCAGTGGACCTTTCGGTAATTAACTCACAGTATAGAAATAAACTGGTTAATGCTTTATATTTAGCATTTGACTTATGTTTAGTTTTCAACAGTATTTTGAATGAAACATTCAGACCAAGAAGCCTGGTTTCTAAATGAAAATAGTTAAACGAATACTAATATTACATCAGTGATATTTATATCACTTCCTGTAAATGTTTTAGTAATGTCAATAAAACCATTGTCATGTGGCAGAGACAAGCCAAACCAGTCACTCGTCGAAAATCCTGTTTCAAAGATAATAGCCAGAACATGCTGGAATGTCAAAATTATCGAAATATATTTTATTGCATGTAACTAACATTTATATTATGTCATGCTATGCTGTTATTTTCCTCATTTGCAATATTAAAAAAACAATTTTTAAGAATTTGGTGGTGGTTTCTGCCTGAGAAATGCCAGAAATCATCAACTTTGAAGGCTGATTTCTCAAATATTGTATCTCCTCTAACTTCATAAAGAAATGTCGGATTTAAATGATTTTTTTAACCATTTTATGTATCTCATTTTACTGTTTAACACTGTATTAGTAGCTAAAAATCAATTTTTGCTACAAGCGACTGGTTTCAATTTTCTTTGCCACATATATATTCATTATTTCACTGTTTACCAACTGAAACTCCAAAGTTCAATGTGACAAATACCTTAAGAACAGCTTAGCTCAGTTAGATAATCTGGCGGTAGCTATTGTGTGTGCACTGAACCGTGGAGATCTTTTGGTAAACGTTTCAATCCCCAATGCTACTCTCCTTGTCCTTTAAGCTAGAGGGCGCAATGCAAGTTCATTTAGCCCACGTCTTTCGGATGAGACGTTTAAGCCATTGTGTACACTGAGACTACGGTTTTTAGTCCTTATTCGAGAAGGCTAGTTCTACCACCAGAATCGTAGTCGAGCGTGCCGTTCAAACCAGCGCTGATATTATGGCCGTAGGTTGAGTGCAAATGCTTCCCCATTCGACTCACCTTTATATGGTCAAGATATGACAAAATCATGCCCATATATGTGCAGATCAAAGGTGTTTTTCACATAAAATGTGTACGTGCACAGAGCTTAACCTGACATGTTGTAATCTACTTAGAAGGAGAAAATGATGGCGGTGATTTGCTGCTTGCATTACGAGAAGATCAACCGTGTCGTGTAGAACACTTAGTCTGTACACAGCCTATTCCAACAAGGTAAGTAGTCAGAATTGTAGAGAAACATCCATACCAACATCTTTTTTTTTCATATTCACTAAACCTTTCTGTAGCTTTGCAAGTAATATATAAATATATTTTCAGCCCACCATCTCCAATCCTAGGCTTAGCTGTAGTAACAGATCAGTTACTAGGCAACCACCTTCTCTGTCTGACATCAAGTTATGAATGCCTTTCACTTCCTGTTTCGTAAGTACATATTTGAAGCTGTATATGTTTTCGTCTTTAACAATACACAAGAGAAATATATGCGCTGTAAATAAATATGAACTTAAACTGGGAAATAACATCTAATTCTCTATACAAAACCATTTTATCATTGATCCTATAAAGGATCTTTCTTTACTACATAGAAAATTAAACTTACGGAAAAAGGAAAGCAAGCAAAGCTTCACCTACAATATGTAAGTAGAGTAAGCTCTTGGTGTCAGGTTGTCAAGTCATATGGCAGTTCACTGCGGATAACCATGTATGCAAGACACTCAGAATACTTAATCACTATCATGTAATGGGTTTTGTTGAGTTTATGTATTATGTTTTAAAGATCGTGAATTTACTAGGATATCTCAGAGTTCACCAATAAGTTTGACCAGAAATGCAACTTTGATACGAGCCCTCATGGTTGAATATTGCAAAGTAAGTCATATATCAGATATATGAATTAGTTGCAATTTTGAGCCAATGTGGCTTGTATCAAAGTTGCATGTACTTTCCTATTTAAATGTTTTTATTCATTTAATTTTAGTTTCATATAGATAATATTGTACATTTGTCTTGCCTTTTTTATATCTGCACCTTTTCCATTTTCTTTTTTTTAGACTTGAGGAATTTGAACCTCCTCCTGATCTTCTGTTTGAAATGCCATCAGGTGTTGTGAGGTCACCCCTTAAAAGGCCAGACACCCAGCCCTTTCAGAATAGCATCAAGAGCCTATTGAAACGAAGTTCAACAAATCCAATTCTAAGGTAGTGTCACCTCTAATTTTAGAGGGATGGTACTGTGGCAGTTTTGTTGTTTAACATGTATGGGAAGGGGGGTCAGCAAGGGGTCATCTCATGCGCCTAACGCATACACATTTTTTTATTTTTAAATTAAAATGAATCTACTAATTGTTAGCATGAATGAACGCAATTAATGCAGGGAAATAAGATTTTGATGAACTTTTAAAAAAATGGTAAAATGGTACTGTTTGAAAGATTGTCTTAAGCAACCGACATAAAAAATTGTCCAAGAATCTTCTCAAACTCTTTACGCAGATCGCCTGATATGCAATTTTTCCAGCCTTATACTCAATCATATAGATTCTTTTTTTATATGCTAGATCAAGTACAAAAGCAAAGCTAAGTCCTAATGAGTGTTTTATGCTGCTGGGGCAAGCCACTAAAGTTTTACGAGAAGAGTACATCCTGAAACAGGACCTAGCAAGAGAAGCCATCGGACGAAAGTGAATATATATTCATATTTTTGAATGCTAATTATGTAATTATGCAGTTTTAATGATAGTTAAGTCAACCCTCTTTAATTCCAGGATCCTTGAAGGTGAGCTATGGTTTTCTACTTGCTTTTTGCAAGGCCTAGGTTAGTAAAGCCTGTTGGTAGATAATTGGTAATTGCTTTGCAACAGCAATGCAGAGAATTGAGTTCTCAATTGAGGCAGTCTGTGTAATAAACATTGCAAAAATTGTCTACAGTAGGTCTAGATTGAGCGAGACATTTGATTTAATTTTATTGCTACATGTGTTGGTGGAAAAATATGTGCGATACTTCAGGTTTTAAAAAATGTAAAAAGGGATTTTGTTATAGAGAATTGAATACTCTCTATAACAAATACCCTTTCTTTACATAGACTAAAAGGGTATTTGTTATAGGGAATTTAATGCTTTGTGTTCAGACTCATTGTTGAATGCAATAAAATATATCAGGTTCATTTTCATTTAGTTTGTAGATTTCTAATGAACTCATTTTTAAAAAATAATATAGGGTGAAAATATTACAAGAACAGAAACAACAGCAACAAAATGATTTGAAAGAATGTGATGATTTGAAAGAAACATTAGGGGCCAAAGCGGAGGAGCTGGCAGACAAATATGAAAACACCAAAGAAGAGCAGAATCGTTTAGTTGCACGGTAGTACTCGCTTTCATAGTGCTTTTGATTATAATAAGTCTAAAAACTTTGTAAGTATTTCGTAAATACCCGAATAAGCGCCTCAGCCCTAACACAATTTTTGGAGGCTTCTATGTGGTGCTTATTCGAGAGTTCCCATGTTACCTATCTCACATATTCCCGTAGTTCAGTCAGCCTAACGTAGTTCCTACGTCATCGTAAGTAAAAGTTTATAAAGAAATGCTTGTCTTCATTGTGTTATTTATTTATTTTAACACTGTATACATTGTATTAAAACCCGTTCCTCAAAGTGTTTTATTACATACAGGGGTATAATACACTCTGATTAGGCACTACATTGCTTATTCAAGAGTGGCACTTATCTAAAACAAACCAGGTTTAGTGTGGGGCTTATTAGATAGCGGCGCTAATTTGATATGTATTTGATATCCCCCTACTCGTCCCGAATGATGTACTGGGTTCTTTATAGGGCACACAAGCCATTGTATACACTGGGCCTACTGTTTATAGTCCTTATCTGAGAAGACTTGTTCTACCACCAGGACCATAGGTGAGCATGCCGTTCGAACCAGCGCCAATATTATGGTGGTAGGTTGTGGCGCCCCTGCTAATCGCTCGGCCATTTGACTCCCTTGGGAATATGATGATATAAAGAGGATAAAGATGATGAAATTGTGACTCATTAAGATAGTATAGATATTGGTGTTTTTGATATAATTATATCAAATTCCTGTAATCCTTTATTCTCAGAATTGGTAGTCTTTTGCGACAACTACAGAATCGTGTGCCGGTGCTTTCTGATGCAGAACAAAGCATGAAAAAAGAACTCGCGACTATGGAAGAGAAACTGAAACATGTCTCCAACTCGTTAGAACAGGTTGGTTTAATTTAATAAAAATTATAACAAATACAAATGTTTTATATGTGATTAAAGAGAGACATAATTGTGGATGTGGATACTAGTTTTTGAGTTTTGCTTATTTTTTTTATAATCTAGGTGAAATTAAAACATAGTTATCAAAAAAGAAGCATGAAGAAAGATGCAAAAGAGCCACAGACCCCTGTTCTGAATGAGAATCAGACTAGGAAGTTAAAGGGTCTTATTAAAGAAGAGTAAGTTAAATTATTTTTTATTAGTTGAATGATTGACACCATTTGCCCAAACGCTATTTTCATTCAGAAAAGAGTTGTTGTTTTGATTTCCTTTTTATTTCTGTCATCATAAGTCATCATAATAATAGTAGTGTGTGTAGCTAAAAACTTTATCAACATTATCACTGTGTTTCTCAGTACCAAAGTCATTATGTAATTTATCATTATTCATTGCATATTATGAAGTACATTGCCAAGAAAAAAAAACATGTCCTAATGGGAAAATCCAAGAATGTATACCAGCTGGCCTCATAACTCAGTTGGTAGAGTACCCAAGTTGTTATCAGAAGGTCTTGAGTTCAAATCCCAATTTCGACAACACATTTTCCACAAAAATACATTGTCAGGTATAACAGTTAGACAGCCTTTGTATACACATTGAACTTTTTACAGTCAATGTTATCATTAGTACATTTTTAAAGAGCTTTTGATTCAAAATTTTCATCTTAATCATTAGAGTTTGGGCTTCATATTTATCTTTAACTTATTTTAATTCTGCTTATATGATCTGTTTTCTTGTAGAGGTGAAAGCATTGCAGGTTTGGTGAACAAAGTGAAGGATATCTCAATACATTTATAGTATCATCATCTTTCCTAGCAAGCATCTGGCACAAAATCTTGTTTAAAATAAATAACAACAATAGAAATACTGTAACACTGTATATATTTCATACCACTGCAGTCAATAAGTCAACACAATGTGTATGTTGCTAAGCATACAGCAGAACCCCTCTTAAGCAGATAATCTTTGAGACCACAAAATTGTCCTCTTAATAGGGGCGTTCTCTGAATAGGGTTTGGCCATAATCATAAAAGATGTATGTTGTCCTTGTAAAAATGCCTCTTTAATAAGGCACTTTAAAAGGTGAACCAAAGGAGGGATTCTACTATATTGTATAAGTTGTAGGAACATTTGCTTTCAACTTCCTGTATGTATGTCCATATGTACGTGTCATAGTATACCCATTACACTGAGTTTGGAAACAAGTGAACTCAAAATCTGCCAAAGTATAGTATAGTCATGATTTTTCTAGAGATCAACAACATGGTAAAGTTTCAAGTCAACATTTCCAGATTCAGATGATGAATCTAAATAATTTTTCTATAATCTAACTTTTCTGTATTTATACAGTGATTTTTAACTTATACCATTAAAATTATTGTATATAAAATGGGCTTGTTGAATACTATATGAATGTCTTTAATGTATCGTTAGAATACAACAGCTTGTCAGATTAAAATAAGTCTAAATTAACATGTCTTTATTTAAATAGCTGCTGAATATAACAATCAAAGAATGCATGCAAGACAAGATGTAGACAAATAAAGCTTCTGTTGAACATATTGGCACAGTACAATATTTTTGTAATGTAAAATTCAGGCTACATTGGTAATTATAAACATTAGTGTATTATTAATAAACCAATATCTATAATTATTTGTGGTTGTGTTATTTTCTGTTAGGACCATCCAATTTTCACCATTAATTACCTGGTTACAGCTACAAAACAATGTTTCCTTGTACCCCTGCCTGCCCCTGTTCCTCTGAGTACACAGGCCAGTTAGTTCTTTTTTTGAGATAGTACAGTAAGTACACTGTACATGAATTTCCAAGCAACAAAATAAATCAAAAACACACTTTTTTTATACAGTAGTTCAGGTGATTTAATGCCGGTTAATACACTCCATTATACAGACTGATGTTTGAGTGGCCCTATTCATTGTTTCATAGTTGTAATTCATAAAATTTTCAGCATTGATTTTGTCTCTATTTCAATAACTGCTAAATATAACAATCAAAGAATGCGTGCAAGACAAGATGTAGACAAATAAAGCTTCTGTTGAACATATTGGAAAAGAAGCCCCCGGCCCCCTTTACTATGCAAATGTAGCCTCGAAATCAAGCCCATCCAAAGTTCGCAAAAAAAGCAGCAACCCAGGGCTTCAATTTGAGGTTTTACGGTATTATGTGCTGTATGATAGAATCTGGCAAGATATTACTCATGGATGCAAGTCTAATAAAAATTGACCTCTGGGAAATTGATATTATATTTGAAACTAGCCTATGAATATTACCCCCCCCCCCCCACACCTACTGTATGTCAAAATGAAAAGGCTTATAAGGGCGCGTTCAGTGAAAAAGATCCATTGCAGTGGAATGATGATATTTGATGTTGGAGGGGGCTGCTCCTAAAGAGGATTCAGGGGAACCATAGCAATCCCCTGGTTACCCACCTACTGTATGTCAAAATGAAAAGGCTTATAAGGGCGCATTACATAAAGTATGAAAGCCAGGGGTCCAGTGAAAAAGATTAATTGTAGTGGAATGATGATACTTGATGCAGGAGGTAGCTGCTCCTAAAGAGGATTCAGGGGAACTATAGCAATCCCCTGGTTACAGGTTTGTACACTGATATAATAAATACTAGCTGTATGTGCAACCCAGTAGTAGATTCGAGGAAGCCCAGTAATCTTGCCCCTTCCCCCTAGATTTTTCAAAATAAAAAAATTTAAGTGAAAAAGAATATTGTATTCAAATTGATGCCATTTCCGGCCATCTAGAAGTGCCCATAATCATAAATTTCTAGCCTCAACCATGGTGGGTGGATTCTCTATCTGTTAAAGTTCCTCTATGAATTCCTGAATCTGCTACTGTAAAGGTTAAAGGTTATCCATTTATATTCATTTCCAATGACGTAATGTGAAGTGTAAAGAGGCCGTAGCATTATCTGTATTAAGATGGACACTATCGTGCTTACCTCTAGACTCTCATTTGTTGTGCACACCCCAGAGACCAAAAATGTTAATGCCACTAGTATTAATTTACATACAGTAATATCACATTTATTTTATAATTCAAATTGTGTTCTATAAAGTTGAGATATACATGCATGAAAATGGCTTCAAAGATGGTTCTATGGGATTTACAGTAGAATGTAAAAACCTAAAACAGTTTTTGACTAACACATAGTCAGTCACAAAAGATACAAAACAATAGGCATATAATATAGTATTGAACTTTGTACAATAATATAAAATTATGAAAACTAATTTTCACCAAAATTCAGGTTCATATTTTTAATATTTATGCCTAAAAATATTTGGCACTACAGTATTTAGTACTCTTCTTAAATCTTCCAGAAAAGTGGGAGTTCCAAACAGTATCCTACAATACTACTGTACTTCATTCAGAATTTACCACAAATCGTAGCTTTTTAAACACTCAAAATCACAAACTACAAGTAAACATTGTTTAGAACTCTTCGTAAAAAAATCAACTACAGTATTAATCAATCAGCCTCATAAGGGCAGTGAACAGAGGCAGTAGGACTAAAAAAATATCTATTGAACAATCAACTATTAATCAATCAGCTTGTCATTGTTTCTACAGCTCCTCATCGAAGATAGAGTACAAAATTTCATTAGTACCAAATATTTTCCTGATTTATTTCAAAATACATTACACTCTAAATTTTAAAAGTTTTTTTTTTTAATTTTTAGCTCATTTTAAAATATCGATTGTAAATTTATTTAGTTTTTTGCGAAGAGCCACTTTGACTGTCACTCACTTTACAGCATAGCATGTTGCCAATCCTGCCTCACAGAATTTTGTTTCTGTTGTATTATATTGTATGTCCAAGGCATTTAATGATAAGGTTTCCACATGCAGTTATGGTCCTACAAATTTGGTACCATTTTTGACAAGAAATCCATATTAATATCATGCACATAGCCTACTAATGCATTAAACATCACCCTTTTCTTTTTCTATTTACACTTTTGGACTTAATCTACTACTGTGTACACACAAGGACATATAAAACAGGGATCAGGCCTGACAGGGATATTATTAAATATAGATAAAAAATGGACAAATACAATGACAAGAATTTCCCATGCTTTGGAGAAAATAAAACTGGTATTTCATCACCAAAAATATCAACTTATCTAATGGAAAAAGATATGCTTTCCCACATTTAGCTAAATTTCAACATAGCACCAAAAAAAGTACATAAGTAAACCTTAAAGCTAGTTCTAAAATGATTTTTTAAAACATAAAAATGTAACGTTGAGTTGTATTCACACTACTAAATTCTATGTGACAAAATACCTGTCATCTGCCATACCCAAATATGGGCAATTCACACAAATTTGTCACATAAACTTTGAAAGTGTGAACACAGATTTAGGTGTTCTACTGTATCAAATATTTGCCTGTCTGAATCAACAGAAAATGTTTGATCAAACAATATCTGATAGCACAGAAATCTGCTGTGAAATTTAGGCTACTGTAGGTCAAATGGAGGGCCTAGGATATCAACAGCTAAACATTAGGTGGCTGATAAATATATCTACTGTTTATATATACACAAATTTTGAACAGCTACATGCAATACAGAAATATTTTCTTTTCATAACTGTCATTACTTGATAAAAAGGTTCTTCAGTTTTTCTTTATCCTCCACGTCTTTCTGCTTCTGCCTTATTTCAATGTTTTTCAGTTCTTTTTTTACGGCTGCTGCCAAACTTGGATCTAGCTCAGCCGCACGCATAAAGTCTTTTTCAGCTTCCTCAAAACACCAACATGCAAAGTATGCCTTGCCTCTTCTGAACAGTGCCTTCACATTGACTGTAATATAATTTCAAGATTTAAAAAAATCATTACAGTATTTCATCCCATACACTTCTGAAAGCCTCTTTAGTTCTAACAGAATTTAGATAAAAATGTACAGTAGACAGATAAAGGGATAGAAAAGCATTGTGCTTATCACAGTGAATGTATAACCAACTAGAAAATAGGATATTGTTTTATACAAAATTAATAAAAAAAAAAAAAACAATGTCAATAAAGAACATAAAAGAAACTTTTCATTCAAACTCACTCTGATCCTTTGCGAGAACTGAGGTGGTGTGCTCAATAACAGCAGGATAATCCTCACTAATTAGCTTGCACTGTGAATAGTTCAATAGAAACGGAATTCTCAATTTATCCAGACGGAACCAAGGCTCGCTGCCTGGTTGTTCGTGAATCAACAAGTTCTCCAAGCATCCTAGGGCTTCTGCATATTTCTCCTCCGCTTTAGCGTATTGTTTCGCTTGATACAACTGGTTGCCTTCCTCCCTGAGATGAGGCAAAGCATTCAATTTCTCTTCATCGTTCATAGCCCATGTGTCTTTTTTATATTCTCCGGGATACTGCACGCTTAACAGGTCAAAGGTGAACTGTAATGGTTGTGGATTACGTACAAGTTCATTGAGGTCATCATGACCGGTACTTGGGGCTTTCATCTGTGCCATGCCACAGCAACGGTGCTGCTCCTCTTCTGTGGTCTTCTTAGTTCCCGTTGCAAATTCTCTGAGTTTTTGAGCCACACTAGGATAAGCTGTAACATGCTATGAAAAAAGGATATTGAAGTAATAATATTGTCAACTATATTGATAATAAATTATATTTCTATTCTATAATTTCTATTACATTCATTTTCTGTGTCTGTGATCTCTTGTCATACAATTGTTTGTGTTGCTTTGAACCCCATGTATTTGACTATAAAAACACGGAAAAAAATCCCCTGTATGACCGGGAAATATAGAAACAGATTGTGGAGTGTAGCTTTGCTTAGCATTTTTTTTATTTATTTAAATTATTTAAGTAACACACATACAATCAAATACAATCAAATGACAAAAATCGGTAAGTACACAGACAATCAATAAAGGCTATAGAAATTTAAAATTCAAGAAGGATATATTCATAATAATCATAATACTAATGATAATATTTGTAATAAAAATAATTGTCATTTCAATGTTTTTAAAATTATAAAAAAGTATTATCTGAAGTTACTAATTGTAGCACAATACTGTACTGTATAAACAAAGATGCAAAGTAACCTACCTCTGTTGGGACTGAAAATTTTGCAACCTCATTAACACGCATTGTTTTTAAACATGATTCCCAAATCTCCAACTTAAAATGCTTTCCAACGAGGATTTCCATAGGTTTTGTCTTCCGACTGTCATCAATAGTAGTGTTCTCCTCATCACACAATTGAGTTTTATATTGAAAAATAAGCTATTGAAGTAAAATAAAGTAAAATAATAACATATGTTATATAATAAAACTACAGTCTATGCCTATTAGTATTATTATTTAGTTATACAGAAAAGCCCTGGCTGGCCTCCTCCTCCTTTCTAAAAACCACACAGAGATAATATATAATGGTGATTCACTATAGTATTCTATACTCCCTGCATAGACCATAGGCGCTTCCACGCTAAAACAAAACATCCGTTTCGGCCGCGAAGCTATTAACTTCCGAAACGATCCTAGGCCTACACCTTCCTTCAGCGGTAATTCCCTTCAACAACTCTCCCTCCTGCCTGGTCCAAACCACAACCAACGAAGCCTGGCCACAAAGCCAAGTGACTCGGTTGGCCTAGCGATTCTAAGCCTAAAATGCATTCTCAGTGCTTTACTAGAGCTGCATTTAGGTTGACATCGTACTTAAATATATATACTTAATGTTTACCTTAGTTCCATCTGGATATTCTTCTAATTCGCCAGATCCTGCAGCAAGAACTTGCTTCGAAACACCAAGCTCAGTCAGTGCAAGGGCCTCCATGATTAACAACAAAAAAAACAAAAGCAAAAAAAAAAAAAATCGGCGTTCGTGCCATAGCGCCCTCAAAAAAATGTATATGGAGCGCCGTGAATGGCTTCTTTTGTGAAAATTGATATAATGTGGTCATAGCGTGCTGCAGACCATTGTCAGTTTGAAAGGGAATACCTATGATACTACGTAATGCCTTTGAATATTTAATTAATTTTCATATATAGAGAAAAGTGTTAATAATGTATCTGAAAATATGTAGCACCATCTAGGCTGTCTATGATAGATCGATACTCCAATTGAGGGAGCTACGTTATTTTAGGATTCTAACCGGCCCAGTCTAGGCCTACTTCTGTATTTTTACCCATGGATGATCTACATTTTTTCTGTCCAGGGAGGTAATAGCACTTAATTTCAATGAAAGTTTCCGAGGATAAGCGCTAACCTATTGGCCCACCATGTACCACAAGAATAAAAAAATAACATAATAAAAAAATATGGCATAATCCTAAGTTAGGCCTACATTAATGATCCTGATATTTTATTAGGAAGTCACGTGTGAGAACACATATTTCATCATTCTGCCGGCCGCCTAAAAGAATAATCTTACGTTGTAATAACGTTAAATAACTTTACACTTTGGTGTGCAATTTTCCTTTTTTTTTCTTTCTTTTTTTTGAGAACCGTAAGTATCACGGGTTTGAAACAAAGATGCACTAGCTTGAGAGAACAATTTTTAAAACAATAAAATAAATTAAATTGAAATCACTGAGCTGGCATATGGACAATTTTCCATCTATATTTTGTTGACCACCATTTCAATACACATAATGTATATAGCGAATGACCCATCACCTATGTTATCACTTTCTAATTATGTTATCATTGAAATAACATCAAGTGCCCATGCATAACGTGCACTGTGTGGACCCAACTAATATATACTACTGTAAGAAGTATATGCAGTACGTTATTATTTGTTGGGATACTTTTTAGACCCTTAGTGAATCTTTATATGTCCCAAGTTCCACTTTAACCTTCCTCCCGTGCTCCACTGCCAAGTAAAGTATCTGTGGTTAATATTCAATTATGTGCCTTCATCTTAGTTTGGTTTAATCCCTAGAACTGCATTACAGTTCAAGTAGCAAAACTTTTATGCGGAACTATCGAAGCGAGCACCTCTACTATCCTGAACTAAAACACTATTGTTCAGAACACACTGCATCGCTTCATTTGCGGATCAGTGTCTAACCCTGTACTCAACTCGGTCTATGTTATTTTTAATAGTCGACGTTTCGTTCAACGCGATCTTGTAAATATTACTTGACCCGTAGTTTACTTACTGATTAGTGCGTTGGCATTCGTACGAATTGTATGTAAACAGTGACCGGTACACACAGAGTCTATATAAATTTTGATAAAAAAGATAGTCGACATTCTTCCGAGTTGTGGGAGTGAAAGAAATGCACTGCAGGATACAGGCTGCATAAAAACTGGGCAGACGTCGTGGAAAGGGCTGCAGGATTTCGTGTAAGTTACTTTTTTAGACTTGTACTTTCCGACTATTATTATAAGGTTGGAGAAACAGCAATAGCCTAGTATTGGCCTATTACGGTACCACTTAGAGATAGTATTAGCTGTAATGAATTCCCTAATATTAACAGGGCCCGTAGTTCAAGAATTAGGAAGTTAGATTGGTCATGGGGAAATATAACATTGTTTTCATATTCCCATTAATCAGTATGTCCAGTTCCTGGTGAGTTGAGGCCAACTTTGGAAAACAAAGTTAGGATATTACATGATATTTGAAGAGGGTGTAGTTAGGTTTTGACCTCTATTTGTATTGTCATTTGAATGGGCCCTTAACACTACGATACGTTGTTAAATCAGTCACTTCATGATCTGTGTGGATCTGTCCCATTATTTTGAGTTTAAACCATAATTTGTCAACCGAGATAAATATGCATTCCAAATTAATTTAGGTAATAATATCCTATTCGATCTAACAGTATATAGACCTAACATGCCTTCATGAGTACTCAATAATGCTATATGAAATGTATAGGCTATTGGCCTTTGAGGATCTTACGAAGACATAAATGTGGCCTATATAAATATCACAGCAGTGACACGCAGTCAGATGACCGAATCTACTGCCCCACACATACCCACCAGCAGAGAATTGTGCGCTGAGGTAATGCTTAGGGGATTATAGTTTACGTACAAAGATTATAAATTCGCTGGGGCCTGGGGAATTCCTCCACCGACATACCAACGATACGTATAGACGTTACACGCACACGTGCGTCTGGGTGCGCGCGCCTGTAGTGTTGGCCTATTATATGATCGCACTTAATAACGCACTCAACAGTGCACGAAACTAGTGTCGCCAAACGATCGCGGAAGGTGATACGTTCACAGATTCGCCTCATCACACATTAGTAGGTCTCTGGGGAATGCTCAAAATGCAATAACTCAATAAAAATTACATATTGTTGATAAAGATCCATATGTGATTTTACAGTTAGAATAACGCAAAATCACCCAATATGTTAGATCAGTTAGATCGATTGACAGACACTCGAGCCTCAAAGACAAAAGCATAAACAAAGTATCAGGCCTAGGCCTATTGTGAAATGTCTTATAATTATTGGTAATTGCGTTGGCGTGGTCTAAATCTGACAGCACCTCAACAGTATCATACAGGTAGGGATATGACAAAGTATGTTGTTCTGTTTCGTTTATTTATTCAGATTGTTTACTCACGTAATCAAAGTACTAGTACCGGTAACCATTCTCGAGTTCAATATTTACTATAGCAAAAGTATGACGCTATTACTAGTCATGGGCCAATGTCAGACCGCGTATAGAAAAACACCTTGGAAGGAAATGCATTGAATTTGTATACCAAAAGAAATGGATTTGTTCTCGTATTCTCGGTAATCCGGTAAATGCAAAATGAAGAAAAGGTATACATTCAAGGGACATGCCTTCTGCAACGACAACCAATATTCAAATTAACCGATTCTCTCGAAAATTCGTTATAAACGATTACTGTTGAAAATGCGATTGAAGTAAATGCAAAAAATTATAATCAGTACCGTATTAGATATATTCCAATGAAACTTAATGGCTCTGTCTATTATTTAACCCCCTCCCCTAATGGAACTAATTTGCAGTCGTGGGTGCACAACCGTTGCGCACCCTCCTCATCGGTCCCATGCACCGCTGCTTGTTATAATAGTTTTGCAAAAACTAAATGAATGAGTATATAAAAATAAATAGAACTGAATTAATTTTTTTACATAATCATGGTCATGGTTATAGAGGTCATTTTTTTAAATATATTATTGGGATAGTACTTTTTTGACATTTTTGTTTCTTTATCATAACAATTTAAATTTGAAATTCTCTATTGCATAAATTGGAAGATAGGCTACCGTACTTATGCTTCTGGTATGTTTTCATTTTGTTAACGTCAACTTTAGTGTTGCAACTTAATCTTAAAATCTACCTCCACTCCCTTTCCGACGCAAACGGAAATTAATCTTTATCATACAGACGGCATATCAAGCACTTCCGACCATCCCGTGTATGTTGTATCAGGTACAGTACTATTGTTTCAACCTATAATTACATGACTATTCCATTGCAAAAGGGTATATCATTCCGTTTAAATAACAAATAAAATATTACTTCGAATGAAAAATAATATAAAAAC